AAATTTGCAAATTAGCCAAAAAATAAAGGCTAACTTTCAATTATTTATTTATAAAGAACTTTTGATTCGACCATACATAATAAGAACCATTTAAAGAGAACTCCCTAATAGAATAATGTATACTGTGTTGTATTATGAGTATGACTTAGGACAAATATCGACCACAAATTGTATTGAAGAATATTCCCTATATGGAAAATTATTCTACACCAAATGCCATCTTGCCTCCAAGCGGTGCACTTTGTTAATTGAGTGACGATGATCTGATGGTCGATGGATAGGTTAAAACTAGAGTTGGGCCGATTAGCCGCCGACTAATCGGTGAAGCCGATTAATCGGCCTATTTTTAGTCACCGATTAGTCGGCGATAAATCGGCTAAAACCGCCGATTAATCGGCTTTTATTTTATTAATTTCTGCAAAGGTTTTTAGTGATTTTCTGCGTGGTAAGTGCGGCTATATTGATATGAGTAAAGCTTTAAATTTAAGAAAATAATAGTTTCTCTCCCATGCGTAAAATCATAACAGATTTATATGAAGGTAAATCAAATAGAAAATAAAATAAGTAGGTTCATACATAACTTTTATTGAAAAATCAGTTTCACATGTTTTAACTTTAATTATTCTGATTCTGAGGATAGGAACTTTGGTAAAAAAAAGAAATTGAGGTAGTCATTTAAAACTAAACAAAAACCTGAGTACTTACTACTTTAATTCTACTTTTTAATTTTTTCTAATCGTAATGCAGAATAGCAATACAATAAAATAAAATATTAATAATGTTATTATTAATAAACTTAATCGACCATTTCTTAACCGATTAATCGGCTAATCGGCCAATCGGCAAAAGTACCTACTAATTGCCCCAACTCTAGTTAAAACAAAAAAAATCCAAAATTTTTACAGATTAAATCACCAGTGCAGAGAGCAGCATCACCGGTAAGGTTATCGGCTCTGCACTTACGAATCCAATGCCCACCGTGATGTGATACGAACAAGCGCGTGCTAGTTTGCCACCTCTTCTATAAAAAATTGGAAAGGACCGCAGTGAATTAAATTGAATCTTCTTTATCTCTTATTATGTAAACTGGATCACTGAAATCTATAAAAAGCATTCACAGAGAACGATGAAGGAATATAGACCTAAACATGCATTACTAGTTCTTAGTAAAAATTATAAATTAGTATATATAAGCGATAACTGCTTAATGCTTATATCTAAAATTTTCATATTATTAAAATTATAATTTTATAAAGACAGCAAATACTTCAATAATTTAAGTACTTATACAGGACAGTATATACGTACACCCTTATAATTTGAATACCTTGACAGCGCATTTGTGCGCATTAAGTAAGAAAACGTTCGTCCCCGCGTTTAACAAATTTCTTCTATGAATATCGTGTCAAACGTTCACGTTTCGTACTATTCTAGAGTTTAGGGCTGCCATTTCTAAGAAACATAGCTAAGATATAAAACTTTAAAATAAATTAACCATGCAATTAATGCAATTTATAATAAATTATCAAAATATGTCACAACGTGTGGGGGACGTATGAATTTATTTATATTATACTTGGAAAGATGCAACAAAATAAATGATACTTTTTACACTTGCGATAAGCCTGTACATTCTTCAGTAATAAATTACCTTTTTATTAACTTACTATTACTTAAATTAAAATATATATATTAATTTACGTACACGAGGCCCTTTATCAATATCCTGTTCCGTTTTATACAATCACATAATGATAAACAATTTAAAGGGAAACATTTAAAAAAAAATATTGATTATACAATATTCGAAAAAAAAATAAAGAAGCCTTAAATCAATATAAAGCGCCTGTTAAAAAAAAAACAACAAATAAAAATCTTTTCAATTCGAGCATCCAATATGACATTTCGTTAAATTATTCCCAACATAAATCCAGGGGTTGCATTATCGGAGTCCCCTTCACGCGGTGCCTGTTCGGTACATTCATTACAAAAAGCGACACGTAGCGAAGCAAGCACTGGTTCAATAATTCCACTCGTTCCTCCCCCGGACCCCCGGTCGAGCCCGTAGACAATGCTTAACGGTATCAATCAACTTCAAACAACCCCGCTCTATCTCTGCGTTTGACTTTAGGGTTGATTACTGAGATTCTAAGTTTTGCTAGGCTCTCGCTTTTTACTTATTTTTTAAATGAAGTTAGGTACTACTCAAGCATTTAAAACAAATATATTTATTGGTATAAGCATATAAATCTATTTTTATTTGAATTTATATTCGTAGATATCATTTTACGGCATACAAACAGGTTTAAGCGGTTTCACCTGGCCTTACGCTAGCTTAATAAATATCAGATTTTTAGGATAAAATGTGAATAAACAGTTGCAGGTCGATGCATGCAGGTGGTTTGGGACCGTGTTTTGTGGCATTACTAGGGAAAGACCTATGTCCAGCAATGTGATGGACTGTAAAATTGATGATGATGATAATAACGTATAAATTTTATTTAAAAATTATTTGGAGCCTAAGCACATGTTAACATATAATTTAAACAGTACATGTTTGTGATGATTTTGAACTGTTAGAAATATCCTAGTATTAGGTTTTAAAAAAACTCTATGCCTTCGATTATTGGAAATTACATTAATTTTATTAAATGAATTTTGCATTGTTTAAAATACCTCTTTATCTAGCAGTATTTTAGTAAGATTCTGGAAGAATAATTAAAAAAAAAAAAACAAGAATATAGCAAATGATCTTGCAAGGAAATCGATGGATGATGTTAGTGAAAACCATCAATTTGTGGTGACAAAAACAATAAAAAAGTTCTTTTTTTATAGCTTTTTTTATAAGTTCTTTATTTATCAGCTAACAATTCTTTTTATCGCGCACGTTTTAATATATAAACGGTCCATCGATACCCGGACGCCGCGGGCTGTGTGATGTCTACCCTACTAAATTCATTCGTTGCTTTGATCTGCATTCTGTGAGAGACGTAGGTTTAATCACCTTTAATGCAAACTTATCTGATCAAAAAACGCGTGTTTCGTATTTAAAATACGAAAGTTTTACAATGATAAATATTTATACAAATTGTCAAAGGTTAAAAAAATAATAAAACGTATGCAATTCTAAAACGGCAAGGAAAACTTAATGAAAATAAAGACTAACTAGAGTAATTAGGCTTTCACTTAACAGCCTAGCCTTTTTAATTAATTCCACTAGCAGCCTGAAAGATATTCAGTCGATGCGTCTAATACAACATTACACCGTACGTTGTAATATCAGTCGAAGTGGTCAAAGGCCACCCTAAAGTCGCCTATATTTATATAATATAGTAGAGAGTGCCTAATTAGCATAAAATGTTACGTTAGACGCATCGGCTGAAACGCATGGGCTGAAAATCATCCAGGCCGCTACTTAAACGTAAAAAGGCCAGGCTGTAAAGTGAAAGGCTAATTAAGCTAGTTGGCTGAGACAAAAATCTATGAAACAATATAACTGCCGTTGCTGCCGCGGTTTTTTGCCTGGCAAGTGTGGCTAATATTCCCGCAATGGGGCAATTTATAAGGAAAGACAGTTCGTGAAGTTAAATTGTTCAGCAGTAGACTCTCGAGAGGCTTTAACGAATGAATGAATCTATGACATGTGGATTAAACCACAACCAACAGAATTGTAACTTCATCCACAAAAACAAGGTTTAGCTTGCACAAAATGAAATCACATGAAATTTTTAATACATAACCTTTGTAAGATGTTGTGTAAAATAATTTACACTCTCAAAGAATGTGTGTATCTTGTTTGGTTTATTAGAAATTGACTTATTTCTTCACACAGAAACGTTAGCGAGCTATAAATAGAATTATTCACACTTACGTCCACAAACATTATTTATAGGCATTTGTAGAGGACTTACGTTGAAATAGTGTCGCATAAACTTTGCAATTTGTGCCCTGGCACAGTTATAATGATTTATTATTATAATAGTCGTAGCAATAAATGATTATTAAAAATGAATTTCCGAGCAAGTTTAGATGACGCAAATCCACACACCATGGTAGAGTACGAGGATGATAAGATGTTCCCTTGTGCGCCAGAATAAATGACAATTTAAACACAACCCAAGTTTGAATCTACGTATAATCAATTAAAGATTGTAAGGGCTAGTCCAGTTGTTATAAAGAACTTGCACCATAGCCAGTCTCATACGTGGTTTTATCTAAATCTAAATAATCAAATAAAAATGTTATGTATACCACAGGCAAGCTTCTTTGATTACTAATTCAACTAGGCTTCCTTCTGAATGAATTATGTCCGGCAGCCGGTTCTCTAGATGAAACTCCTCATCACAGGTTTCGTCTTACACATACTTTCACTTGTTTTAATGACGACGATACGTTTAGGCGTTCAGGCTAAATAGTCACTATACCGTTATGATAATAACACCAATTCATATTCACCGTTCGGACACGCCGTGCGTTTTACGGCTGTGTGAACCAAACGTTACCGGACATTGGTACTAGTCATGTAACTAAGAGGCATTTTTAACTGATTGTGCTTAATTGATGAAACTGAATAAAGTTGTAATTCCGACCGAACTTAAGATAATTTTTAATGAATATTTTAGTTTAAATACTATTGCAGTTAAATTGGCAGGAATTACAAAACGTTACAAGTGTTATGTTATTCTAACATAATATCGTAATATCGTTAAACTGTAAAGACGTCATTTATAAAGTCCGGCGCAAAATACATTTTTGTGTCGCTCTTAAACTATATAAAGTAGCAACTTTCACCAGTCCTCTACCTCCTCCCCAGCGAGCAATCCGTATCCTAACCAAACTTGTAAACATCTCAACAAGAAGCACTTCAGAATAATAAAGCAAGATAAAACGCGAATAAGTCTTCCCATAATGTTGATGAAAATATTGTGTAATATTTATTTTTGTGACAAAAATATTAAATACTGCAAAAATCAATACGTGTACTGGATCTATGAACTTACCGAATCAGGATCATGCGCATTGGGCGTGGACGGTTGAGGAGGCCTCGGCGGTTGCGGGTAGCCCTGCGAACAGATATTTTCTTTAAATAAGTAACACTCTCAATGTCCATATTGCATATCAAATCTAGTTTTGTTAAGATGAAGTTAATCAAGTGAGATAATACTTGGCAATCACATAGCGATAATACCGATTTTCTTACAAGGCTGACTGCGTTTACGCACTGTGGGATGAGCTCTAGCTTATGTATGTGTATATCCCGATCCTCGACTTCAGTCCATATGACATGTATGTCATATGAAGTGAAGTCGAAGATCGGGATAAGTGGCGCGCCTGAGGAAAGGCCAAGTTCAGCAGTGTGCTGCCGCAAGCTGATGATAAAATAATAACGCGCGCGCTAACGGTGCTAATGCAATAAATTCGCAAACATAAAATTGCTGATGTTGACAGTTTAAAATGCAAGTGCAAATAAATAATTAACCGACAACGGCTGCCACATCGCTCCACATTTTCAATCCGATGACTAACAAAGAATGAAAAGACATTCATCAGCATCACGTGAAACTTTTATTTCTATGGCATTAATCTATTGCAAAGTGAAGAAATTATGAAATCCTGATCTTATCGTCATTCTCAGGCAATGCAGCTCTCCAGAGGGAATTTGAGACATGCTTATATTATTAACTTTTCTTTGTCTTATTCTTTATCAGAGGAAAAGAATTTAGAAATACTTATAAATTTATAATAATACATCTTTTTAAGTTATTTTTTATAGTGATAGACTTATACTAATTAAATAGAAAATATTTTTTACATTAGATTTGATTTTATTAGGATTTTAATGTGGTATAATAAGTAATAACCAATAAGGGTATGATATCAATTTAAAGTTACTTTCTTCGGTACACTGATTTCTTTACGAATACTGCTGGTATTAGTAATATTTATAGCGTTATATTCCTTTTCTTACTCAATTTCCGTCTGCTTTCTCGAAATTCTTATCCCCATGAATTTGCTTTAAAAGAATTGTTTTAAGTTTAAAAAGAAATATTATGTATACTATTTAATATTTTGCAGCTACAGCATAATTTCTAACGAACAACGATGAAAACAAGTTGACCGGATCGAGTTCCAAGTTCTTAACAACTCTGTAAGACTCCTTGCTGAAATCTCGCCCCCGACACTAAAACGCTTAAGCGTCCAACATTACATTACAAAGGCAGACACTTAGTTCTTTCGTTTTATTTGACTCGACGTCAAAATATTACTAAGTTGGTGTAATGTTTCGGTGTTTGAAAAGAAAATACAAGGTATCGTGGGGCATTCAGAGTACTGTTACACGCAAGGAAAAAGAATAATTCATTTTTAGTAATTTGTTTGTAGTAAATCGAAATCAATTTTAAAAAAGATAAACTATATATTTCATAGAATAATTTTTTTCATATCACTAGTGTTATATATGACTTGGAAATAAATAGTAAATCACCGACACTATCGTAACTAAAAAGATTAATGATTTTCGCCAACCCGCTTGCCGTGCGTACCAAATAAGCCAAATATGAGGCAACATATTATGGGGAAGACCCTATATTCAGCAGAGGACGTCTAATGGTTTGTTTTGAAAGTCTTTTTTTATATAATAAGGGTGATATACGGGCACGTAGTCCACCTAATGATTAGTGGAAGCTGTGGCCCAGACAACTACATTTTTCCTCGATTAAGAATCAAAACGCAGATGCGTTGTCACCCCTGAGGACTAAGATGGAATTCCTCGTTTCCAGTAAAAAAGGGGATCTCTACACTCACCATACGAAACACAGCGGTATTAAGCTGCTATTTTACACTGGCATTCTGTGAGAGCGTGGTTCTTCCCCGGTCCAGCCGATCCATTCGTGCTACAACCATAATATAGCTATAGCGTGGCTTTGCCACGTACAACGACAATTTCTGACAAAAGAATTCTAACAGACAAGAAAATAAGGAGACACATGGAACTATAATGTATATTAATTTACGCCTACATAAATTCAATGAAAGAAACGAGAAATATTAAAGAGCAGCGATCCGCCCGGCTTCGCACGGGTGTTTTTTTTTTGCATCTCGACAACAACGCCATCTACCGGGTCTAATTGTGAATATAATCCATCCACGGACAGATACAGAAACACAAAAAAATTCATCAAAATCGGTCAAGCCATATTCGAGTTTTAACGACATTAACGGACTGCAATTAATTTATATATGTATACTAGCTTGCCAGGCAGACGTTGTTCTGCCCTTTTCGACGACCCTTTGTCCTTGTGTCCTATTTATTAAAAATCCTTAAATTCGAAAAAAATTGTGGGTCACTCATAGGCAAAAAACTATCCTATCTCTCAAGTTGGACCAAACTGTATACGGTGTGCAAATTTGATTAAAATCGGTTAAGTAGTTTAGGAGTCCATCGCGGACAAACAACGTGACACGTAATTTTATATATAAACATATATATATATATATATATATATATATATATATATATATATATATATATATATATATATTCTATGAAAATATAATAGAAAATATATATATATATATATATATATATATATATATATATATATATATATATATATATATATATATACTGGTGGTTTGGTCATGTGGAAAGAATGAATGAGGAAAGAGTGACAAAGAAAATTTATGTTGCAGAAGTGAATGGCAGAGTCGGAAAGGGACGTCCTAGGCGAAAATTTATCGACCAAATTGGCGATTTATTGAAAACGGGCCAAATTAGGAGTACCCTTAACCGACGAGCATGTATGCGGAGGTGTATGGATGTGAAGGAGGCGAGAGAGGTGTGTCAGGATCGTGCCAAATGGAAGTCTGTAGTCTCTGCCTACCCCTCTGGGTGACAGGCGTGAGTGTTTATATTTATATTATATATATATTAATTTGAAAATTGAAATTGAAATAGAAAAATACCCTTACTTTACTGACACGTGTTTCAACAACCATTACGATAAGAATGTTTGCATCAACATACATGAATCCGTCTGATAAACTCAAAAACGCAAAACACGTAGGAGTAGCGTCGCGAAACAAGCCCTCAATTACCGCCGCGCCGGCTAGATGAACTAAATATCAATATTACTCTTCCTTTAAAGGCAACCCTACGCGCGAACACTGGGTTACCTCCATAAAATGTATGTTTTTATTAAATATTCGACGGTTGGGTCAACGCTCTCATAACAAACTAAAGTTCTCTGTTGATATTTATACATTGCTTTCAAATTCACTAAAAGTTAAGTGTAACAGAAACTTCTAAACAAATATAAGACGCGCTCCTACTTGATAAAATTATCTGATTCCTAGTCCACCAAGTGGAAAAGTCTAAAACACGCGAAATTAGAAGTGATAGATAAGATCTTTTCTGCAATGTTAACATTCGTGCTACTAAATTGCTACATTATATTTATAGGATAAATATGCTCGCGATACGGATATTTCATGATATTCGAAAGTCATGCTTAAGTAAAGTAAAGTTACAGCCTATATACGTCACACTGCTGGGCACAGGCCTCCCCTCATTTATGAGAGGGTTTTTGGGGCAAGGAAGTGTCCGCCACGCTGCCCCAATGCGTGTTGGCGAACTTCACATGTCTTCGAAATATTTTTTTTGACAGACAAAATTAATATACTTCGAAATAGCTCTACACTGCCAATAGTCTTCGTAAATATAGCAATTATTATCCAGCAAAAGATACGCATATTTTTACTTAAATTTCTCTAAGCGATTAAAAAAAGAATGAAGACTATAAACATTTAGTTTGATCTATTTTATTTTATAAACAACATATTCTTTTAACACTTTAAATACAGTATAATAAATACAAGCATATTAAATTTCATTTAACAGAACGCAACAGTAATATAGTAATAGTCTTAAAACACAAAACAGATGACTCCCGAGGGAAAAATTAATTTTCTTTTAGTTTTTTTTTATTTTGCGAGCGCAGATTATGGCGCGGCAGAGAATTTTGAGGCTCGTTAATTCGCCATCGCCGCCACTGGGAATTAAAGTTGACTAACGATTAAAATAATAGTAAGCAACTACGATTTTTAAATTGCATCCTATTTGAGAATTTGCGTGATAGTTTTAAATGCAAACATTTTTTAAATACTTGGTGTTTTATAATTTACAATATATCTTTTATCTTTATTAATTTTTAAATGTACTCATTTTAAAATAAAATTACCTCGATATTTGACAGAAAATATTTTTTCTTTCCCCATCGTGGATGCTACGCGAGCGTTTTCTAAGGTTTCCGATATTCCCTCGTATCTTATGTACCTACTCTACCTACACTATACGTTCAGACTTCAGCCGGACAAAGAATAAGATTGAGTTCCATTTACTTTTGCTTCGAACAGTAGTTGTAAAAATATATCCATATGAAAAATATTTGTGCTTAAATCGCAGAAATTTCATAATAACAAAAATTTATGCGTTGTAAATAAATAGTAGTCGCATATTTTTATCTATTTAAATATTCTTTATCACTGCAACAGGTAAATATTCTGTTATGCAAAATATTGGCACAGATATAATGAAAGTATAAATAAAGAAAAATATTAAAACGATAGGTACTGCCATCGCTTCAATGCCATTTCATTTCTTTAAAAAAGTACCATCTAAAGCTTGTTAAATACTCAAGCGCCGTGAACGTTTTGTGGATAAATGATTCTGAATATGTAACACCATAGAAACATTAAGAAATAACAAAAGCAAATTATAATAATTATGTTCCAGAACAGCGATGATAATATATTTGATATTGATATATCAAACGTCAATGATCATTAAATAAGAGGAAAATTAAACGATAGGACAAATAAAAATAAAATTTTATATTCTTTGCGAGAAAACAAGTAAAGGTAAATATGCGGTTAAACTGATATACTCTATCTTCAAGACTGGGATATTGGTTTTAAGAGTGCACTTCTCGATTGACTATTGGCGTCGATGGATGATTTAAAAGTTTAAAAATAAAATCATATCATAAAATTTCTATTAACAGCA